TGTACCTCTGGGTAGTTTAGCGGAGAGGCAACCTTTAAACAGCTTTCCACCTAGCCTCTCCCAAGTATGTAAATTAGGCAATTTTTCCTTGGAAAAACGATGAACAGACATCATTGACTATTTGTAGGAATTTAGTGAGCTGGGCTCTCTTGATCTGTTTTCCCCTACGATTAATTAACGTCTCTAGGATCATGAAGTAGATTTTTCTCTCTGAAGACTTTGAATTCCCCATGTTACGATTAGTGTCCCCTGTCAAGATTAGCATTCTTTACTCTTCGTCTGCAATATGTTTTCTATTTTCTAAATGCGCTTAACCAAAGTCAACCTGCCAAATTCACAATGAGTGCCTCTCGTTTGGTGCCAATCTGCTACCCCCGTTCAGCGTAGGCAACTGAACCAAAGTCACTCATGTGAATTTTGGGGTAACACAAAATATCATCCAGACATGGAATACCTTTTTGTAAGCTTCAGGATAGCTTCCCTGGCTCCCGGCCTCAGGCTCCCACAAGGAGAACAAGAGGCTGACACGAGATGCTGACAAGAGAGAGGGAGTGCATGTTCTTGAGTTGACTTTTATTGAGGGCAAGGGGCAGGATTACAAAGGAACAGGTGAGTGTAACTCAACCCCACCAGAAATGCCTGCTTCTGGAGCCATGCCTGAGCAGAGGTAAAGCCTACGTTATTGTGGGGTGTAATAATTGTTCAGTATCTCTTGCTCAGGACTTAAGCACGTGTATTCCCAGAGTGGCTCCCGACAATTTCATATGAATGGAACCATGCAAAATGTGGCCTTTTGCATCTGGCTTCTTTTACTTCCTGTTTGCTTTCCACCTACATTTGGCAGGGGTGAGGGGGGATAGTACTAGGGATTGAACCCAGGGGTGTTTAACCACTAAGCCACATCCCCAGCCCTTTTTGGTATTTTTAATTTAGAGACAGGGTCTCTCTAAGTTGCTGAGAGCCTCCCTAAGTTATTGAGGCTGGCTTTGAACTCATGATTCTCCTGCCTCAGCCTCTCAAGCCGCTGGGATTACAGGTGTATGCCACTGTGCCTGACTCCCCACATTTTTTTATTGGTGCATTATAGTTGTACATGATGATGAGATTTGTTGTTTCATTTGTACATGCACACAATATAATGATAAAGTTTGTCGACTATCACTCCCCAGCACTCACTCTTTCTTCTCCACCTACCATCTCTTGTTCCTTTCCCTCTGTTGGTTTCCCTTTGATTTTTAGGAAATCCACTCACACCTTTCCTTTCCTTTTTTTCCTCTCTAGGTTCCACATAGGAGAGAAAATATACTACCTTGACCTTCTGAGTTTGACATATTTCACTTAACATGATGGTCTTTAGTTCCATCCATTTCTCCACAAATGACATAATTTCATGTTTCTTTATGGGTGAATAAAATTCCATTGTGTATATATACCACATTTTCTTTATCCATTCAGCCATTGATAGACACCTAGGCTGGTTCACTAATTTGGTTGTTGTGAATTGTGCTGCTCTAAACATGGGTATGCATGTATCACTGTAGTATGATGACTCAGGATAAATACTGAGGAGTGGTATACGTTGATTATATGGTAATTCCATGCCTAGTCTTTTGAGGAACCTTCATACTGATTCCCATAGTGCTCATACTAATTTAGAATCCCACCAACAATGTAAAAGTGTTCCTTTTTATTATTTTGTCAAAATAGATTATACTATCATGTATGACTATGAAGTGTTCTTTTTTCTCCACATCCTCCCTTTTACTTTTAAAGTAAAACTCAGATACCATCTCAACTGTAGAATAATGGTACCATTATGATATCTAAAAAAAATAATAGTTCTTAATATTTTGGGGTGTACCAGGGGTTGAACCCAGGTGTGCTTAACCACATCCCCAGCCCTTTTTTTTTCTTTTTTTGGAGACAGGGTCTTGCTAAGTTGCTTAAGGCCTCACTAAGTTACTGAGGCAGACTTCGAATTTGTGATCCCCCTGCCTCATACTCCCGAGTTGCCAGGATTACAAGTGTGCCCCACTGTGCCTGGCTAATAGTTCTTAATATGTTCAAATATGTAACTGGTGTTCAAATTCCCCTTTGATTCAGTTGCATATAACTGATTAAAATATAAGCTCAGGCCCATTTTCCTTATATCCTTATCCCTATAGTGTTCTCATTTGTTTTAGAGGAATAGAGGATAGAACCTTCTTGAGGGTAGCATGAAAATTTGTTTTAAATTAATCATATCCATTATTGTAATGTTTACATATATACCTGATTGTTTTTAGATTAAAATGGATTGTTAGTGGATAGTGAAAATGTTTTGTAATGCTGTGTTTCTCAATATGTGGTCTCTGGACCAGTAGTGTAAGCATCATCTGGAAACTTGTTAGAGATTAAAATTTTCAGTCTCTGCCCTAGATATACTGGGTAAAACTCTGGAGATGTCCCAGTAATCTTTTTTTTAAATACTTACATAATTATTGTGTAAACTAAGGTTTGAGAGTCACTATTATGAAGAAATTCTATTAAGAGTAGTTTGTGTCTATAACCTTTGGCCAACTTGCAATGTAAGTCTAAGACACCCCTGAGACACCCCTGAAATAGGTACCTTACAATTTCTATATTTTCTTTTCAAGAATCCTAGGATCTTTCTTTATTAGTGTTATAAATTCAGGGAGAACATCTACAAAGGAGGAGTGCTTTCTAAAATTTGTCAAACAAATAAATTAATATATATGTGTGTGTGTGTGTGTGTGTGTGTGTATAACTTTTCTCATTATAATATTTGGTATTGTATGATTTAGCTCTTTAGTTCTCAATAATTCCTTTTAGAGATATGAATGCAATGCTATAGTTCTATCATATTATCATATGTCATGTAACTGTCAAAAAGGAAGTAAATTGTAGTTCTAGACCACAACTAGAGAATGATAGGAAACATTTTTCAGTAGTGGTTCTCCAAGGACATTTCTAATTGTCACAGTGACTGGGAAGAGGGTGCTGTTGTCTTTTAGTAGGCAGCAGCTAGGGATGCTAAATATGCTGAAAATGCTGGGCTGGGGTTGTGGCTCAGTGGTAGAGCACTTACCTAGCAAATGTGAGGCTCTGGGTTTGATTCTCAGCACCACATAAAAATAAAGGTATTGTGCCCAACTACAACTAAAAATTAAATATTAAAAAAGTGCTGAAATTGTGAGGGAGTAGGAGGAAGTCCTGAATAGTGAATTGTTTCATCCAAAATGCCAATAGTGCCCTGTGGTAAGACATTTCAGAAGAGGCTGTTCAGTGGTAGAGTACTGGCCCAGCTTGCGTGAAGACCTGGGTTCAATCCCCAGAACTGCTAAAAAAAAATTTTAAAGGGACTGGGGATTGGCTCAAGCAGTAGCGCGCTTGCCTGGCATGCATGCGGCCCGGGTTCGATCCTAAGCACCACATACAAACAAAGATGTTGTGTCCGCTGAAAGAAAACTAAAAAATAGATATTAAAAAAAATTCTCTCTCTCTCTCTCTCTCCCTCTCCCTCTCCCTTTAAAAAAATTTTTTTAAAGGTATTCTGAGCAATCATCATCATTTCAAATTATTTCAGACACACTTGCCAAGTGCTTTCAAAAACCATAGTTAAACTCAGCTTTGCAGGTAGCCAGCTGATAGTATGGATGCCAACTATTTGAATAGTCTCCTAATCCTTCCTTCCTTGTTCTGACACTGAACCATCACAGTGGAAGTGGTAGAATCATCATCTCTCAAGCTTGAGACTATATATATGTACGTATGTATATACACATACACACACAATGTTATTATTTTTTTCTGTTCTTAAACATTGTTGACTACATGGATAGGAGGGTAAAGCTATGAATTCACATTGCAGGTCTTTTCCTAATCTACTTAATAGCAGATTGAAACAAAGTCTGAGAAATGGATAGGTTGAACTAATTATGCCCAGTGTGATTTAAAGAGATTGATTTGGGAAGAATATAAACTATCCAGATCTGCTTTTTACTAAAAGAATGAAAGATGCCAAAAATTTTGTTATTTTAATATTAGGATTAGATTGAATTTCAGTGGGAAATATATATACATATAGGTACTGGGGGTAAAACCCAGGGTGCTTAACCATTGAATCACATTTCCAGTTTTGTTTTGTTTATTTTAAGAGAGAGTCTAGCTAAGTAGCTTAGAGCCTTGCTAATTTGCTGAGATTGGCTTTGAACTGCTGATCTTCCTGCCTCAGCCTTCTGAGTCTCTGGGATTATAAGTGTATGCTACCATGCCTGGGTCAAGTGAAAATATTTTAACAGAATCTTCAGCTGAAGAATTCAAGCAAAACTGGGTTTTGATTTATGTATTAAGTTTTACTCATTGTTTTGCAATGGTTCTGGCATAAGAAATGATTCCCAAAGTCATTTTAATGTTTATCCTTTTAAACCACTTATGATTTGGTTGAGATTAATTAGTCCTCATTATTTTTTTTCCTGGCTTGCTTTATCATTTTGTTAATTTTCTGATTTTATCCTGAATTTTTCATGTTGCTTTGTCATGAACTCATTCCCCCAATTTCTAGAAATATCCTATTAGGATCCCTACACATTGGTAATATTATTTAAAATATCTAGAACCTAATCCTCCCCCCCTCTCATAATTACTAGTAGAGTCTGGTTATTGAGGATGTTCTATGAATTGATCTTAATGGTTCCTTAGAGGGCTAAGTGTAGTTTTATGATTCATCTCTGTGATTTTTAAAAAATATTTATTTTTCAGTTTGACACAATACCTTTATTTACTTATTTTTATGTGGTGCTGAGGAACTATCCCAGGGCCTGAGCAAGAACCCCAGCTCTCATCAGTGTGATTTTCTAAAGGGAATTATACATTGGAGTACTGATAGTCCTCATTTTGTATCCTATCAGCTTCTTGCTATATGTTATCTTCTTTTAGCTTGGAAATTGTGAACACTTTCTCTGTTCTGTATCTGAATGTTATGCATTTCTTTATTGCAGAGAGACAACTTTGGGTGGATCCATGGACTCTGTGTCTAAACTGATTGACTATGTAGGATGGCTGTCCACTACTGCAATGCGATTGGAGAGTAACAGTACTTTCTTGTTGCACTTCATTTTGGATTTCTATGAGAAGGTAGCATGCATTCCATTTTTCCAGTTTAGATTTTGTGATAGCTGTTAAGTGTTCTAGCCCATTATTTAAATTTCATGGACAACCATCAAGGTGTGCTATGAACTTATTAGCATGGTTAAGATAACCGCACATCTTAAAGTTAATTATTGTATTTTCATCTGAGTAAATGACTTTCATAAAATAAAGTATAAAAACAAATGTGTTTTATTTTTGATCCAGTTACCTACCACTTTAATATACATTGACCTATAGTAATACTGGCCCTAGACAGAAGTCTGTTTCTAGCATCACTTTTTTGTTTATCCACTGTATATCACCAACCTCTTGCAAAAACCAAGATATCATTTTGTTTTTTCAGATCTCCTACCTTTCAACCACCTATATTATTCTGGTACTTAGTGCCTTTATGATACTAGTACTCTTAATTGTTTTATAGTATTTAGATAGAACTAAATACTATAGAACTATTACCATGAAGCACCCATTATAATCTCACGTTTCTGGCTTTCTTCCTTCATTAATACCTCATTGTCTTGTGTTATGTGTTTGCTTAGAAGCATGCTTTCCTTCATTTTCCAGGTCAACTGCTGACTAATATGATAAATAAGTATTCATGGGACTTAAGGAGAAAGAAATGCTCCTTTGTCTACCCTGTTCCCAGACTCAAAGACATCCCCCCAGAAAAAAATTAAATCCTTTAATAATGATCTAGAAATAATTTTCCATTGCAAGGTTGATATTTGATGAAGTTTATTTTCAGCAGACTTATGGCTACCTATTCTATTTAGGAATCAGGCATATCTAAACCTGATGTTTTTATTATTTATTTTGATAATTCTTTGGAACAACTTGGCTGATTTCTGGCAAATAATCTATGTGCTGATGTTATCATTTTCCCCAAAAGGTATGTGACATATATGTAAATTATAACCTTCCATTAGTGGTATTATTTCCTCCTGGGATCTTCCACTCTGCACTCCTCAGCCTGGATACCAGTATATTGAACCAGCTCTGTTATATTATGCACAGGTACAAGCCTTTTTACCATTTATTGCTTACTACATCATAATTTTGTCTTATCTTTCAAGTGTATCACAACATGTATTCCTATTCATTTTCTGCCAAGGCATGCGAAATAGGAAACATGACTTTCTTTTGGATACAAAATTCCAATATGGGGATAAGATAGCTGTGTTATCTGTAAGTCCCCCATTACATGGGATATGGAATTTTTTAAAAAAAAAAATCATAGTTAAGGATCTGTTGTACAAGGTATAGTTGCACTCAGCTTTGTTAATTCCAATTTTTGTGTTGGTAACTGGTTTAAGTATATGTAGATTTTCTGGGACACGAGGAGCTATTGCTATTATGTGAAACTCTAAGTATTATTTCTTTTCTGTGGGGGTTACCAGGGATTGAACTCAGAGGCATTCAACCACTGAGCCACATTCCTAGCCCTGTTTTGTATTTTATTTAGAGACAGGGTCTCACTGAGTTGCTTAGCACCTTGATGTTGCTGAGGGTGGATTTGAACTCGCAATCCTCCTGTCTCAGCCTCCCAACCAGCTGGGATTGCAGGTGTGTGCCACCGCTCCTGGCTTCTAATTATAATTTTTGATCTCCTCTTTTCTTTCACTTGTGGACCAAAGTTACTCTTTTCAATCATAAGTGTAGACCCTTTTTGGCTTAAATTGTAGAACTGTGTCAAGGTTAAAATATTTTAAAACTAATTAGATCATTGTTCTCAGGCAAAAAAATATTTCTTAATTTCCTCTTTTCTGTTGTGACTTTTTTATATGATGAAAATACATTTTGTATCAGTGGCTCAGTGCTTTTGAGCCTTTATTAACTTTAAAAAAAATTTTTTTTAGTTGTGGATGGACACACAATATCTTTATTTTTATGTGGTGCTGAGAATTGAACCCAGTGCCTCACACATGCCTCACACAAGTGCTTTACCACTGAGCTATAGCACCGAGCCTTTATTAAATTTTTCTTTTTAAAAAAACATTTTTTAGGTATAGGTGGATACAATATTTTATATTTTATATTTATATGGTGCTGAGAATTGAACCCAGTGCCTCATGCATGCCAGGAGAGTGCCCCACCTCTGAGCCACAACCCCAGCCCACCTTTATTAATTTTTAATAGTGAAACATTAAAATCATGTCTGTTGGGCTGGGGTTGTGGCTCAGTGGTAGAGCACTATGTCTAGCATGTGTGAGACACTGGGTTCAATTTTCAGCACCATATAAAAATAAATAAGTAAATAAAATAATATAAAGGTATTGTGTCCACCTAAAACTAAAAAATATATATTTTTTAAAAAGCATGTCTGTCATTGTTTTGTCTTTTTTTTAATAAGGTACATGTTACATATAGTCAAGTGTACATCTTAAATGTACAACTCAGTTTTGAATCTATTTTTAAAATTCTTTGAGTAGAATGTGTCATAAAATGATAAAATCATCAACCAGACAACTGAATATTTGTATACACTTACATACATTTGCATTTAAAATGTAAGGTTTTATTTATTTGTATTTCAAAAGCATTGTATCTAAAGGCATGTTAAACATTTCATTCTATTTGTTTTTACCATTAGGTATCATAAAAATTTGAGTGCAGCAAAGAAAAATGAGTTGGTACAAAAGGTATGAGGGATAAATCTCTGTGTTAAATCACTATTGTTTAAAAACTGACCTGTTCAGAATAAGACGCAAAGGAAGAATAGATAATAATGACAATTTTATTTCTTTCTTTGACTCTTTAGGCAAAATCAGAGTTCAATTTCAGCAGCAAGACCTATCAACAATTTAATCAGTATTTGACAACCATGGTTGGTTGTCTGTGGACATCCAAACCCTTCGAGAAAGGAACATATATTGACCTCCAAATCCTAGAAAGTGCTGGAATAATGGAATATAAAAACAGTTTAAATTTAGTCTGTCACCCTTCTCTATTAAGCTATGCTGCCTCCTTTTTGCTGCAGGTAAGGGCGTTTAAAAGACTTAGATTTTACATAGTGATACTATAATGTCAAAAATAGGAAATGCCACAAATTTAGTGTGTCTGAATTGTAATACATGTTCAGTATTTTTTCTAGTATCAATTAAATTTTGGGCATTGTGGTAGGCTTTATGGATTCATTTAACTTAAATAAGTCTCTGTCTTGCAAGAGAGCTTGGGCTTCTAGTGAAGACAGACTAGTAAACAAATTAATATAGCACAGTGAGGTGAAGTGAGAAAAGGTAGTTGTGAGAAAGATAAGGAAAAGATTAGTTCTCCTTGGGTAAAGGTGGTGCTAAGTAAGAGGTTTCATAGAAGTGAAAGTTCTCATATAATCCTATGGAAAATGTAGGCCAGATAATATTATAATTAGAGTCTTTGCAGAAACATGCTGATTTATTGGATTGATAATAATGTGGGCAGAGGGAAGGGTGCCTTCTCATTACTTTATCCTCAGCTTTGTCATTTTCAACATTATCAGTGACTTGAAGAGGATTCATATAGTGTGCATTTCAAATTCATGGATGACACAACAGGGTGGGATTGCAAATACTCTGAAAGAATCTAGTTTCCAAATTTCCTCAACAGGCTGGAACATGAAGAAATCTGACAAAATGAGAAAAAAAAATGTACTGAGTGGGGAAGATAATTCATTGAACAAATGTTTAATATATGCATACAATAAACCAGGCACATCTTAGTGTAAACAGTAATGAGCAATGTGTGAAGTTTCCATTTTTCTTCATCTTTCCCAACACTTGTTATCTGTATTTTTTATTAGGTATCTTAAAGGATGTGAAGTAATATGCATTATGGTATCGATTTGCATTACTATGATATCTGTTGATATTCAGCATCTTTTCTTGTGCTTATTGGCCATTTGTTTATTTTCTTTGGATGAATATTCAGACTCTTTGCTCATTTTAAATTGGGTTATTTGTATTTTGTTACTGGTTTGTGAGAGTTCTTTCTATATTCTAGAAGTAAATCCCTATCTAAATATACACTGGCAAAAGTTTTCATCTATTCTGTGAATTGTCTTTTCACTTTTTTGTTTGTGTTTTTTGAACACCAAAGTTTTTCATTTTGAAGTCTGGTTTTTAATTTTTTTTTAACTTTTATTGCTTGTGTTTTTGTTTCAAAGTTAAGAAATAACTGCCTAACTTAAGGTCATGAAATTCCATTTCAATTTTATTATCAGTTTGCCATTTTCTACAAAGAATCCAAGTATTATTCTAATAGGTAATGCTTCAGATCTGTAGATAATTTATGTAGTACTGCCATCTTAACAATATTAAGCCGTCTAACACATGAACACCAGATATCTTTCTATGTAATAAAAATTAAATAGCTCCTCTTTAATTTTTTTCAACAATGTTTTATGCAATGAGTGTAGGTTTTGTACTTTTGTTAAATTTATTTCTAAGTATTTTCTGATGTTATTACAAATGGAATTGTTTTTTAATTTCATTTTGATTACTCATTGTATTATAAAAATGTGATTTAAGGGGGCTGGGGATATAGCTCAGTTGGTAGAGTGCTTGCCTCGCATGCACTGGGCCCTGGCTTCAATCCCCAGCACCACAAAAAAGAAAAAAAAAGATAAAGAAGTGCAATTTAATTTTGTATATTGACTGTATATACTGCAACTTTATTGAACTTCTTTATTAGCTATATTTTTTCAGGTGATTCCCTAGAATTTTCTGTATCTAGAATTATGTCATCTGCAAACAGGGATAGTTTTATTTCTTCCTTTCAAATCTCAGTGCTTCTTCTTTGTCTTGCCTAATTGTCAAGCCTAGAACTTTAGGTATATTGTTGAAGAAAAGTGGCAAAAATGGCTACTTGATCATGGGGATATGATCTGGATTATGAGGTTGAGGATTTCCCTCCTACTAGTAGTTTGCTGAATGTTTTTATCATGCATGAGTATTGGATTTTTAAAAATTTTTTTTTGTAGTTATAAATGTACGGAATGCCTTTATTTTTTTATTTGTTTATTTTTGTGTGGTGCTAAGGATCGAAACCAGTGCCTCATGCATGCTAGGCAAGCACTCTGCCACTGAACTACAGCCCCAGCCCGAATGTTGGATTTTGTGTAATGCTACAAACTTGATCCTATGGTTTTGTCCTTTATTTTTTGAAATAGTATATTACATTAATTGATGTTCAGATATTTAACCCTGCACTCCTGGAATAAATTCCACTTTGTCATAGATAACAATTCATTTTACATGTTACTAGATTTTTTTTAGTAGTTTGTGAAGGGTTTTGTATCTATATTGGTTTTTCCTTATGATTTCTGACTGATTTTGGTTGCAGGTTAATATTGGCCTCATAGTATGAGTTAAGAAATGTATTTTTCTCTTTCACATTTTGGAAAACTTGGTAAAGGGTTGCCATTAATTATTTAAATATTAGGTAGTGAAGCCATCTGATCATGGGCCTTTTTTCAGTAGGAGGTTTAAAAGTTACTAATTCAATCTCTTATTATAGGTTTATTCTTATATCCTATTTCTTTTTGATATTCTACCTTTTTAAATATATGTTTTTATAGGTGCAAATTGATCTCAAAATGTTTTCTCATTTTACTTTTTTTTTGGGGGGGGGGGTTTGAACCCTTGGAGATCTTTGCCACTGAGTTGTATCTCCAGTCCTTTTTATTTTTTGAGACACGGTCTTGCTAAATTGCTAAGGCTGGCCTCTAATTTGCAGTCTTCCTGCCTCAGCCTCCTGAGTCACTAGTACTATAGGAGTGCTAAGTTTTTGTTTTGTTTTTAGTTGTACATGGACACGATACCTTTATTTTATTATTTTATTTTAAAATATCATTTTTAGGGCTGGGGATGTGGCTCAAGTGGTAGCGCGCTCACCTGGCATGCGTGCGGCCCGGGTTGGATCCTCAGCACCACATACAAACAAAGATGTTGTGTCCGCCGAAAACTAAAAAGTAAATATTAAAAAATTCTTTCTCTCTCTGTCTGTCTCTCTCTCCCTCTCTCTCAAAAAAATATTATTTTTTTGTGGTGCTAAGGATCGAACCTAGTGCCTCAAATGTGCTAGGCAAATGCTCTACCCCTGAGCTACAACCCCAGCTCCAAATTGCTGAATTTTTAAAGAAAATTTTTGCCAACTGCCAATTTTTTTAGGGAACAGATTTACAGGTTTCTATATAGAGCTTTCTATAGTCTGGATTTTGCTGTTTGTATCCTTGTGTAACACTTCACATGTTCTTGTGTTCCTGCCATTTCCTATAAATTGGTAGTTAGATCTAGGGTTTTGATCAGATTTGGGATCTTTTAGAATTTTAATAATTTTTTAATTTGACAAGGACATTTTATAGGTGGTATTATTTATTCCATTAGAAGGAACTTAATATAGCTGATTATCTTTTTTTAAAAATCTTTTTTATTGTAGATGGACACAATACCTTTATTTTGTTTATTATTATTTTTTAATGTGGTGCTGACAATCGAACCCAGTGCCTCCCATGTGCTAGGCAAGCACCGTACCGTGGAGCTACAACCCCAGCCCCCAGATTGTCTCTCTTTTATTATATAGTGGGCATTGATGATCATTGCCCAGATTTAGTTCATCAGTGTTGAAGTGGTGATATTTTATCATTCCTTCTTTATATATTATCTGAAATAATTTCTCTAAAGAAAAATTTCTCTTCATTTTGATACTTTTAGGATTTAAAAAAATTGTCCCTCTTTTAATTGTCCTCGGGTATCCTGGGAACAACCTAGTCTATGATTACTGAAAATGAAAGTAAATGTTCTCATTAAAAAATTAGAAATTATTGCTTTACTCATACCCTGGTGTTATTGTTTAGCAATTGTGTGACCTTGGACAAGTTCTTTAAATTCTTTGGGCTTAATTTACCTTGTCTGTTAAATGGGAATGATAATACCTACCTTGATTGAGTTGTTGTTATAAAAAGTAAATTTCATGATGCATGTGAATCTAATTATCTTTGGCATATAGTATTGCTTGGATAATGGTTGCTGTTATCTATTGATTGATTTATGTTATAATTCAAGAATATTTTATGAAAATTTTGATTATTAGTTATTGTTTCCCAATTCTTTAAAGCAGTATTTCACAGATGAGGGAACCTGCATTTGGCAATGTCTGGGAACATTTTTGGTTGTCATAAATGAGAAAGGGAACATACTGGCATCAAGTGGGTGAGACTAGGGATAATACTTTACAGGACATTCCCCTACAACAAAGAATTTTTCAGTGTAAAATGTTAGTAGTGCCAAAGTCAACCACTGCACCCTACTTTGAAGGTTTTCTCTCCATAGTCTGTCTCCAGCATCTTATCTGTAATCATCGTCTGATAAGGCTCTTTTATTAGATGATTTGGTAGTTCTTGGGTGTATGCTTGTAATCATTTTCATGCTGCATATTCTCTTACTTTAATAGATATTGTTTAATGAACTTAAGATCCTATTTCTATTAAGTGATTTTGACTTGGTAAATGTTTAAAATTGTTTTTTGAGGAGGTTGTACCTGCATATACAGAAAAGTCAAATTTAGTTAATAAAGGTATATAATTTTAAGGGAAGTGTCCATAAAATGATACATTTTGGATTTGCTTCAAAATAACTAGGGAGTATTTTGAAATTCCTCAAAAAGTAAACAGAATTTGTCATCTGACTCCATAATACCATTCCCAGGTATATACTCAAGTTGAAAATGGTGCTGAAACAAATGTATGTACACTTAGGTTCATAATATTATTAATACAATAGCCAAAACAAGAAAATACCCAACAGTTCATCAGCTCATGAATGGATAAATTATGGATTAGTCATTCAATGGAAATTATTCATGTAAAAAAGGAATGAAATACTGATACATGACACAATGTGAATGAATTTTGAAAGCATTATGCCAAGTGAAAAGCTAGACACAAATGATCACATGCTGTTTAATTATTTATGAAAAATTCAGAATAGTCAGGCACGTTGGTGCATACCTATAATCCCAACGGTTCCTGAGGCTGAGGCAGGAGGATTGTGAGTTCAAAGCCAGCCTCAGCAACTTAGCAAGGCCCTAAGAAACTCAGTGAGACCCTATCTCTAAATAAAATAGAAAAAAAGAGCTGGGCATGTGCCTCAGTGGTTAAGTATCCTGAGTTCAATCCCTGGTTGGTACCAAAAAAAAAAAAAAAAATGGGGCTGGGGCTGGGGTTGTGGCTCCGTGATAGAATGCTTCCCTAGCATGTGTGAGGCACTGGATTCGATTCTTAGCACCACATATAAAAACAAATAAATTCATAAAGTTCCATCAATAACTAATGAATTTTTTTTTAAAAAAAATTATCCAGAATAGGTAAATCCATAGACACAGAACACAAATTGGTTCTTAAATAATCTTCCCTATTTTTATCCTCTGGTTACTTAGTTTTCCCTCCCCAGAAACCAGAAACTACCACTCTTAAATATTCTTTATCAGATACATGGTGTACATTTCTGTGTAAATTATCTTTTTCAACACTATGTACTATACTTAACTGTTTTGTCTCTTGAGACCTATATATATATATATATAGTGTGTGTGTGTGTGTGTGTGTGTGCTGGGATTGAATCCAAGGCCTTGTGCATGCGAGGCAAGCACTCTACCAACTGAGCTATATCCCCAGCCCTGTCTCTTGATTTTTTAATAGTTTGGCTTTTGTTTCTTATTAGTACATAAAAGACTGCCATATTCCTTTTTGGTGTATACATAGTATTCCCTTGTATGAATCTAGTATATGTTAAAGTGATCCCTTATTGAATATCTAAGTTGTTTACAATCTTATTAAGTTATTCTAACCAATACTCTTGAATTGTATATATTGTTTTACACATGTGCTAGTATGTTTGCTAGATAAAATTACTTAAAGAAGAATTGCTTTCAAAGGGAACAGTTTTTAAATTTTTTGGTTTTCATCAAATTGCTTTTAGTAGAAGTTTGACCAATTTCTATTCACACAAGCAATGAATGGGTTTCCATTTCTCCATACTCAGTCAACATATGCATTTCCTATAATTCTTAATTGGAAAAGCGTATAATGAATCATAGATAAAGCATAACTGATCTTCATAAATCAGTGTTTTTTTTCCTCTAAGAGGGAGGTGGAACAGAAAGAGAAAGACACTTAGTTACAAGATTTAATCTCTAAAGTAGTTAATTTCTCAACTTAAACATAGGAAAGCCAACTTGTTTTTGGGGGGTTAGTAATTGATATACTGTTTTAAATCAAAACCATTTTCTTTTTTTTTGGGGGGGGGGAGTAGCAGAGATTGAACTCAGGGCCACTCAACCACTGAGCCACATCCCCAGCCCATTTTTGTATTTTATTTAGAGATAGGGTCTCACTGAGTTTCTTAGTGCCTTGCCATTGTCGAGACTGGCTTTGAACTAGTGATTCTCTTGCCTCAGCCTCCCGAACCACTGGGATTACAGGTGTGCAACACCACACCCAGCTAAATCAAAACCATTTTCTAAATATTTAAGGAAGATTAGTTTTGGAAGTTTAAATTTTGGCAGCATAGAGTAATACATTTGGCAAAATGTGAAACTGTCATTTCTGTAGTTAATGTTGTTTCCATATGGTTCAGAAATACTAGGCTTTAAAATTAATACATTAACTTTTCTTTAAAAGAATGCCTTTTGATTTCCAATCACCAAGTAACTGATTACTATGTGATTACTGATTACTTACCTTTGAGGTGGTATATACAACCTCTGATACCATGGCAGTATGATTTAATTCTGACAACCATTTTTACTGAATTATTCCATTATAAGTGTTTATTAGCCATATTCTTTAGAGATAATTTAATAAAATGTACTTTGGCTAATCAGTTCTCAGAAAATGTATACAGCCTACATTTCAGGGAATTCTGAAGCTTTGCGAGTGTGGTGTTGGGGGGTACTAGGGATTAAACCCAGGGGCATTCTCCTGCTGAGCTACATCCCCAACTAACTTTATGTTATATATATACATATATATATATATATATGTTTATGTTTTTATTTTTGAGACAAGGTTTTGCTAAGTTGTCTAGGCTGGTCCTAAACTCGTGATCTTCCTGCCTCAACCTCCCAATTACCTGCAATTAGAGGCATGCATCACTGTACCTGGCAAAGCTGTTTTTAAATCATAAATTTCCTTTGAATTAGTAACTAGTTGTTTCCTTGTTTGTTTATTCATTCAGCTAATATTTATTTGGTGCCCCGTGTGCTTCCAGCACTGGAATATAATACTGAAAAAGACAAATACACCCCTGCCCATGTGGATTTTACTCCTAATGAAGGCAAATGATTAACAGTAATAAAATTAGTAAACACGATAATTTTAAAGTTTGATAAATGTTGCAAAGGAAATAAACAGGATGAAGTGAGAAGGGCTAGGGAGATGTCAAGAAGTGGGTGATCAACGAAGGCCTTTTTGGGTAAAGTGACATTAGAGCTGACATTTCTTCTGAGAGATGAGAATGAGCATTTGGAAGTAGGTACAGAATGAGCATTCCAGGCATTGGAACTTAGAACAGCTCAAAGATTTCAAAGAAACTGAGACCAGTGTGGCTTATCACTTAAGGAACAAGAAGGAGAATGGAATGAAGAAAGCTTGAAGAGACTTGAGAGCCATCTGCCTTCCAGGTCTTAAGAATGCAGTGGAAGACAATGGAAAGAAATTTAAGCAGGGCTGCCATATGGTTTGAGTTGATGTTTAATAGAGATCCCTGGCTTCTTTGTGGTGGATGAATTAAAAGAGGAGGCCTGAGAGGGAGCAGGGATACCCAGGAGGAGGCTATTGCTAGAGTTGAGAGAAAAGATATTAATAGTAATTTTTATGCAAGTGTTGGTGGTGGAGATGGGTATAAATTGACTGATATGCAGTATATTGTAGCAGTGGAACAGGCAGGACTTTTGATGGTGGCTTGATTGGAGGTGGGAATTAGGAAAGGACTTTTGGAGTTTTTGACTTGAACAACTGAGTCAATGGTGGTTCCATTTGTTAAAGAGAGGAATACTGATGCATGAATGGAGAGGTTATTTCATTTGGACAGGGAGGATAAGTTTAGAATTGAGTTCTCTTTAGAGTTTGAAATGCCTGTTAAGACATCCAAAAAATGTTAAGTGGACAGTTTGAAATAGAGGCTTGGATCTCAGGAGAGAGATTGAAACTAGAAAAATATAATATGGAGTTCATCAGCCTGTACTATAGTTCATCAATTCCAAAAACACTTTTTTAACTTTCTGACTTTTCAGAGATCAGGATACATCTTGTGATCATTGTCAGTTAGCTAATAATCATGATATAGTTGTCATTTGCTGTTCAAGCATGCACAGGCAGAGTTCTAGAATCAGACTGTGAAGAATGAATGCTAGCAGTTTGGTAGGGGGAGTCTGGAGTTAGTGTTGGAGCACTGTTTTAACCCTCAAAACCTGAATAATTTGGGAGGAGGGAGAAGGAAAGAAATGAACCACAAATGTTATTAACTTTTAAAATTTACCCTTGGTATCCTTGGGGGATTGGTTCCAGGAAGGCTCTTTTCAGATAAAAAAAAGTCACAAGTGCTGAAGTCCTTAATATAAAATGAAGTGGGAATTTGTATATAACCTGCACACATCCTCCTATATACAGATGCTGTGCCAATAAACCCATTATAAACTCAAAAGATCTTAAGTTGAACCATGGTTAAATTGATCATCTCTGGAATATTTATGATACTTACATATTGGTTAGGGAATAAAGACAAGAAAAAAGTCTGTATATATAATCACTGGTGCAAGGTGAACATTGCTCAAATAATGATTGATGGGGAGAGACTTAGGGTCTATGAAATGGAGGGAGGTTTCAGTAGGGTATACCTATACATTACTTCATTCATGTGGATTCAGCATAATGCTTAGCACTCAGCAAATTCCTGAGAAAACTTTTTTCTAACACCCTGCATCTCTAGTCTAATGGCTAAGTACAGAATGAAAAAATGAGGCCATAGATTGGCAAAATGGTGCTCACTTTTTCTACTGTGATTTTGTTTCCTCTCTATTTGCTTCTAAGAAGAAGGAAATATGGAGGGTTGAGGTGGGTATATATTCAAAAGGAATCCAAGAATGATGGTTGGAATAGGACTTAGTAAAATGAATCAGAGAGTGAAGAACCATCTTGATTTTCTAGTGTTTTTGCTAACTAAATATTTTCATCCCCATGTCTCCCCACTTTTTTTTTAAAGGAAAACCTGGAAGAAAGGACAATAAACATGGGCTCTATTCGGGTAAATAAATTTACTTTCATTATGGTCAGAGATTTCATGTAGCTTAATGTCATCAAGAGATTGTATACCTTTACTGTTTTCCAAATCTTAAGTCTGGTACCTCTACAAAGTAGTGAAATGTTTGCATTCTGAATTCATTTCTGTGATTTATATGGATTTATTGGCACATACCTTCTTTATTCTTCTCTAGGATATAACTCTTCTTGTTTAATACTTGCTGTTGTGATCATGCATTGTCTCATTTAGTAGTATAGTTGTATGTATACAAACTGTACCTGTAATGAGATTAATTTAACAAAACTCTGTACAATTGTTTGATTATTATAGAAACTCCTTCTGTTTACTTATATATTATAGGCAATAGTGTAATAATGTCTGCTCCTGTGTTATCTATATTAGATGTTAAATTTCTAGAGTATGGAAATGGTGGCGATTTTCATAGTATTTTGTTCAGTTGAACAGATTGTTTTGCCAATATAATGAAAGGGATGTTTAGCCCTTAGACTTTGGGAACTTTCTGGTTTGAATGTTACTTATGACTCGGCTCCTGTTATGAACTTGGCCCTTCTTCTGAGCTAACTCTTACATGTATCTAGGATGCTGTGAACTTTTCCTAGGGAAAGAAGAGGAAGTAGAAAATAAGCATATGTATTTCATAAGTACTTTTTCTTTTTTTCTGCCTGCAGGGGAAGAAATGGAACTGGTATTTGGAATATTTATTTTCAGAGGGGTTACAAGGCTTGAAACTTTTCATAGGAAATAATATTCATCATTCTTATGTCCCATGATCAGAGCTGTCCCCTGATAACCACCATGGTAAATATTAAATGAATGTTTACATACACACTGAACTTGCTGGACTAAATTCCTTCCTCAATGCTAGAGAGGACAAGTAGCTCAACTTGTGTTTCCCTATCCATTTCATTAATGGACTGCCATTTTCAAGGAGTACTCAGAGTGGCCTTCTGTCCATGGCTCAGGAGGGCCTTGGTGTGGCTAACATATTTTGTGATTTAGATTGTTAGCTTACTGGTAAAAAATGACTTCTTCATCATGCTCTGTCTTCCATCAAATTATACGTGAAGAGAGACATTTGCTTTGTGGTGGGATTTTTCACATTTTTGTATACTATGAGCTGCATTGATAGAAGAGAGCAGATCATACATAGTGGTAGATAATCCATAGACATACTCATGCAGAATACCCTGCTTCCTCTGTGAAACCTCTGTGGATATTGCCATTTTTTCTTATGTGAACAAAAGCAGCAGCACCAAATTAATAGGATTCAACACCTATGACTCTAAAAGCCCTGAGTAGCTGAAGGCCTCATGGGCCTTCACTGGTAGGAATCTGTTGAGGGAAGGAAGGGGAAAGGATGGGGAGGGGGGATAATCAAGACATTTCTGTTTATGCTGATATGGTTTCATGAAACTATTTTATTTGTGTGTATATGTGTATGTATATATCTACTTTTAAAATATTCAGGCCATAATAAATTAACTGCAGCTTTACTTTCAGAAGTAATTCTGAAGCTTTTTATGATTTCATATCAGCTTAACTGTCTTGTTAAAAATGTACACATTTGCTTCAGTGCTACTAAATAACTCTCTTACTCTTAATAAAATTCATATCATTTGAGAGGAATGAAGCTGAATTTACCTTTGTTTTTAAGGGCACATTTTTATCGTTCATTTTTTTGTATTCATTAAAATGAAAATTATACTATTGGATTGTAGAAATCCCATTCATTCATTCATAAATTGAATTATGTATTGAGCAAGGCACAGTGGCACATGCCTGTAATCTCAGCAGCTTGAGAGGCTGAGGCAGGAGAATTGCGAGTTCAAAGACAGCCTCAGCAAAAGCAAGGCAGTAAGCAACTCAGTGAGACCCTGTCTCTAAATAAAATACAAAAAGGACTGGGGATGTGGCTCAGTGGTCTAGTGCCCCTGAGTTCAATCCCCAGTATCCCTGAAAAAATAGGTATTGAGTTCCTTACTATGTGCCAAGTATTCTTTGGTATGCTGGTTATACAGCTGTATCCCATACAAAGTACCTGCTTCTATGGGGTTTACATTCTAATGAAGAAGACAAACAATAGCAATATAAGCAATGTATAATATCAGGTGCTAAGAAGAAAAGGCAGGGAATAGGGACAAAATGTGAAGGTGGTTGCTACTATATATAAGGTAGTTAGGAAAGATCTGTCTGAAGAGGTGATATAGGTAAAGAGCCTCATAAGCATATGAGCCATGTGACTGAGAAAGACCATTCTTCACAGAGGTAAACACAAGTGAAAAGGCCCTAATATGTTAACTTACATATTTAAGGACAAGCAGAGGCTGGTGATGTTATAGCGTAATGATTAAGAGAAAAGAGTGATAAGACCTTTATGAAAGGTCCATTTAGCCTGGTATGGATATGTAAATGGAGGCCATTAGTGAGATAGAGAAGAGGAGTGGCATAATTTGGCTTACCTGTATGAAATATGAAGCTACAGTGTGAAGGTTAGACTGAAGAGGATTGAGGTGGAAAGCAGAGAGACCAGTTAGGTTATTACAGTATTCCAGGCAAGAGTCTTGAGGTAGTCTTACAGATGGTGGAGAAGTGGTTAGATGTTGGATTCAGTCTCTATTTTGAAGGTAAAGGAAGTTAGGATTTACTGATGGCTTGGATATTAGGAAGAAGAAAGAGAAGAGTAAAGGATGACTCCTAGAACTTTTTTCAACCTAAACGACTGGGTGAATTCTAAGATAGAGATCAGGCATACTGGAGAAGAACAGGTTTGGAGAAGCATGGAATTGAGCTCTATTTTGTCCATGTTGGTTTGTAGATGACGAATAGACAATTGGATTTCAGAGTATAATTTAGGGCTTGAAAATTAATCTGGCAGTCATTAGGGAATAACCATGGCATTAGATGAAATCACTTAATTCAGCTGAAAAAGAGAAAATGGCAAAGGACCTAACCCTGGAGTATTCTAACATTAAGAAGTAAAAACTAGGAATAATAACAAATAAAAGACTGCAATGAACTAGAAGAAAAATCAGGAGATTGGTATGCTGGAAGCCAGGTAACAAAAGTGTTTCAAAAAGGTGGGAATGTTTCTATATGTTCTCATGTACATGTAGAAGCTCAAAAAGTTGATCTCATAAGAGAGAGTAGAATAGTGATTAGCAGAGGCTGGGAAGAGTTGGGGAGTGAAGTTTGGAGAGAGGATGGTTTACAGGTGTAGGGGTGCAGAAGGGAGCGGGAACTAATGTTTTATATAGCACTGTAGGGTAACTGTGTTTGACAACAATGAATTGCATATTACAAAATGGCTCCTAAAGAGAATTCTGAATGTTCCCTAATACAAAGAAATGATATATGTTTGAGATGTAATATATATGCCAGTTACCCTGATCATTATACTTATTTGTATATATTTATTGAAATATCACACTGTACCCCATAAATATGTATGATTATGTGTCAATTAAATATTTTAAATCAAATAATAAAAATTCAATTTCTCAAATAGAAGAATTTTTGCCAGTGTGGAATATTACCTGTATACCTTAGAAAAAGAAGCTTTAGCTGCCATAAATGTGATGGCTTCCCTAAAGGGCAGCCTTTCTCATTTAGAGATTTCCCTTCATTTCAAAGTTAGTACTCCAAATAACTTTCCATCTTATTTGCAGAATATGTTGTTTTGGTCCTTAAAATCATGTAGAACTTTCAATTATGAGAAGGGATTTGGTTTCTTTTTATTCCATTAAATTTAGCTTCTAACAACCTTCAAGTCATTGAAGAAACTTTCTAAAATTAAATTTATGTTCCAGGAGGAAAAAATTTTTCTTGGGTTTGTTCTTTTGTTCACTAATGATCCAAGAGTGTTTTTTTTTTTTTTTTTTTTTTGGTACTGGGGATTAAACTCAGGGGCACTCGACCACTGAGCCACATCCCCAGCCCTATTTTGTTTTGAATTTAGAGACAGGGTCTCACTGAGTTGCTTAGTGCCTTGCTTTTGCTGAGGTTGGCTTTGAACTCATGATCCTCCTGTCTCAGCCTCTGGAGCTGCTGGGCTCACAAGCATGCACCACCCCTCCAGGCTCAGTGGGTTCTTTTTTTGCTCATATTTCTCTTGGTCAATTTTAGATCCATTCAAGATTAGATATATGGCTGTGTAAATAAGCTAAGTCTAGCTATTTCAAAAGTCTGTTTTGAAAACTCTTCATGGCAAAAAATGGATTTAAGTAAGACTTGTTATTTTGCGTCAGTACAAAAGATACCTGAAGAAAATGGAAATTTTGGTTTTATTGCAATTGTATATAAAGAATACTTTCTTTACCCAATGTTTGTGTAAAATTGTTGGCTTTATAAATTTTCAACACTAAAGTTAATATTAGAATTTTTTTTTTTCAGTATTGGAGATTGAATCCAGGGCATGTTCCATTTTATTTCCAATTCTTCTTTTAAAATCCAACATCTACAGTTTTTATATTTTCCTTAGTGTGTTATAGTTACATATAATATTGGGGATCATTTTGACATAATCATACATGTATGAAATATATTTGGGTCTACTTTAGTCCTCAGTATTTCCACCTTCCCTTCATTCCTCTCTCGCCCTTTTCTCCTTCCTGTACTGGTCTTCCTTCTATTAATTTATATTTTTTTAAATAGGAGCTTTATAGATACACATAAGTATGAAATTCACTGTGGTATATTCATATGTGTACACAGCATTGATTTCTAACATCTTATTTTCCTTTGTGTTATAGCTTTTACTTTCTTTTGGTCTTGGGGTTGATCTAGGAAAAACAAGTAGCTAAGTCTATGGTGCCTATTATAACTTTTATTAACATAGGAGAATGGTTTATTAAAAAATTATTCTCTGAAATTAGTATTATATTTTTAAGATGTCTTTTCAGTTGGTACTACCATTCCTTTTTTTTAAAGAGAGAGAGAGAGAGAGAATTTTTTAATATTTATTTTTTAGTTTTTGATGGACACAACATCTTTGTATGTGGTGCTGAGGATTGAACCCGGGCCGCACGCATGTCAGGCGAGCGCGCTACCGCTTGAGCCACATCCCCAGCCCTCCTTTTTTTAAATTACTGGATTTTCTAATCTAGAGAGCCTGTATTTTAGTTAAGTAAAAATTCTACTAAAGATGGGCAATAGCATTTAATGGAGTGTATCATTGGCCCAAATGACAAATATTTTATTTTTATAATACTCAGAAAAAGATGTCTTTCTAAGAGACATAGTAATACATGTAAATTAAAGTCTACTTTTAAGTATGTAACAGGAACACAAATTTATTTAGCTCATCAGAAAGAACATTAGCATATCTATCTAGATTTGGTACACAGAACTGGATGCCAGATGCCAAAGTCCTTTGTTGCTTCTGGTTTATGTCATTAATGAATGTATGACCTTGGAAAAGTTGGTTAACTATTTTGCCTCCTGATTTCCCCTTTGGTGAGATTTATATTTGAATGTCTTATCTTTCCAAGCTTTGATATAGAAAATGATTAGAAAAACTGAAATTTTATTAAAATAGGGGAAAAAAAGATCTAGAACTTTTTCCTGTCTTTGAAGTGTGACTCATATAAATGTATTTGAAGACTATCCCAGAAGGTAGTAGCTCATTTTCTATCATTTTGCATTTTCTATCATTTATCTTTATGTGTGAATAGGTTACCTGAGCCTTTCTGGATGAAGGGCAAAAGGTGTGGTTGAATGAGCACCTATTTAATAGATTAACATCCTAGATATTCATGAGTATTCCAGTCCTGGATACAATCACTCAATTTTGCCTATGAAATTGAACAAGATTTAATTTTTTGTGTTCTGTACCTTGACCCTTATATATAGGCAACTTTTTTGTTACCTGGAACAATGAGGAAGTATGTAGTACACAAATTTTTTATTAGCCATTAATTCCAGCGTTGTAAAATTAGAAATGAATTATTTTTTCTTTTTATAATCAGCTTTGTAGACTAGGTTAAATTCCAAAACTTGATCAACAGTTTCTGCATAATCAGTTGAAAATTGTAATGTGGAGGATCTCTGGATGACATGCAAAGAGCTCACTGGAACTTCTCCCCAGAGAAATATTTGTTTTAATTGATCAGAATTAGCAAAGGTGATTATTCAGGTTCTCTGGGGAGTGACCAAAGAACTGTATTCAAAATTTGCAGAACTCATTAACAATAGTAGGAAACCATAACATCTGAGCTAGAGGCTATGCCCATTTCCCCACTCAATTCCATGTTGCAGATGAGCTATTGTGGAATATGTATTCTAGTGTGCATAGCAGCAAAGTGATAGTTCCCATCTCCCCCAGATACTGCTTCATAAATATAGAGGTTCTGCCAATGCAAGATTGAAAGAAACCCTCAATGACTGGAAAGAACCTGCCCCTGCCTGAGGGGCCTGACTATTTTGATTGTGGAGGAACTTATGCCTCCAGG